GAAGCGTCGTAGGTCTGTAGTGGTTGGTACCGAAGCGTCGTAGGTCGGTAGAGGTCTGTCCGGTACCCGACAAGAAAATTCCAGAAGCATCCGAGTCCAGTCCGACAGTCCCCAAGTCCAATTTTGCAGCATGTCCCAGGAAAGTCCGGAAGGTACCGCACCGACAAAATGTTTGCAGCAGACAGGCCGCGGCTGACCGGTACCAGTCTGAAGCAGGCCAAGCCAAGCCAAGTGAAGCAAAGACAAGCCCTATATTTAGCTGCTCCAGTGCAGCGACTTATCACTTGTTCAGTTGCGAGATGCGGAAGCGCTGCTGCTGCTTGTGCGTTGCGGCAACTTGGGCACTATGCGCCTGAGGAAGAAGTGGGCGCCTGTAAGATAGTCCATAGCTTGGCTAGAGGTAGAGCAGGAAGACGGCGGCCATAGCTGCCAAGGTGTACGATACCTGAATGGGTGTATCCAAGGTAACGATCCAAGGAAGAGGGAGAGAGACATGAGTGTGTGTGTGTGTGTGTGTGTGTGTGTGTGTGTGTGTGTGTGAGAGAGAGAGAGAGAGAGAGAGAGAGAGAGAGAGAGAGAGAGAGAGAGNGAGAGAGAGAGAGAGAGAGAGAGAGAGAGAGAGAGAGAGAGAGAGAGAGAGAGAGAGAGAGAGAGATGAGAAGGGGAAAGCCATAGCTTGGTTGAGTCTCGCTGTGTGTGCGTGAGCGGCAGAGCCGCTGCGGACAAACATTCTTGTATATTGGCAATCATACTGGTGACGACATCTTCGAGTGTGGACTGTATCTTGTTTTGGCTTCTCATGTGTGAACTCTCATGTGGATCTGCGCTGTCATATGCAAGTTGAACTTTGCGAGTACTTGGATCATTTTAAAGCAGCAGAAAAGACAAAAAGTAAGCCGGTTTATCTTTCCATATTCTGGCAGAAGATTCATTCTGATTTTGTACATTTCGTTAGGGCAGTGAGAACGAACAGAACAGGCAAAGAGTCTCCGTGGTCTGACAGGCCTTGAGCGTACGTGGGAACACACAACAGAATGGAGAAAGGCACTGATGGGGCTCAAACCGCTGGAAGGACAACGGCAAAGACAGACACTTTGAAAGAAGAAAATAAAAAAATCCCGTCCAACCTGCCAAAAACAAAATCAAGTGTCACCTTTGATCCCGAGCCAGCCACCCAAAAACGGAAAAAAGAACAACTCCGCACGGCCCTGGAAATTCCTGTCCGACTGGGAGCCAAAAAAACACTCCACCGCGAGCCTCGATCCCGCCCCAGCTGGCCAAAAAACAAACAAACTCGAGCCCCTACTGCGTGGGGCAGCTCGTGTCCCATGAGACAACCGTGCGGGCCTCATTTTTGCTGGGCCCAGGGGAAGCGTCTTACGGGGCCCTATCCTTCCTTTAATAATTACTATCCTTCCTTTAATAATTATACAGAAAACCACGATGGGCGTCATCTATTTATATGTACCTAGAAATTGGAGAGCACTGTACTGCTTGAATGGTGAAGGATGGATGTTCACTTTTATGACAGTTTGTGTGTATCTATGTGTGCGTCTACCAGTGACTTCCGGTTGTACTGCGCGAATGTTGCAAAGATGAGAGTTTTCACCACAGGTGTATTGACAATCGTACTGCTCAACACTCTGGTCATTGCAATCCAGGTTCCCTCTCAAAAGCCCTAGCCTTGCATTTTCCTTGTCGTGACAGTTTTCTGCTCGAGCTCTCTCTCTCTTCAACCAGCCAGCCTCTTCTACAGCCCATATAATTTAGGCCATGTATTGGTCACATGACTCACATCGTATAGACTCATAACAGTAGCTATGATATGATGGCTGGAAGGAGAACAAATGCTGCAGTTGATCTATATATTACTCTAATATTAATGGTCTACAATATACATTCATTTATTGTCTATAATTAATGTATATGTTATAATGCTTACCTATTTGTCAGTAGGAAACTGGCATAATGCTCACCACAACCGAATGGACCCAGACTCCCAGAGCCATAAGCCTGCATAAAAATTATGGTGGAACTGTAGAGCTGTAGAAGGAAAAATGAAACGAAAAAAAAAAGGTACCAAATTTGAGCTAACATACTAAGTCGGAAAATTGCATCTGTACCCTTTCAAAGATGGGAATCGCCTTTATACCCAGTCCCAGTGCCCAACTTGAATCTACACCCCCAAAATTGCCTGTGGAAATTATGTCCTTCTCGGGACTGAGGTGGGCCAAGGTTGGTACCGCCAGATAGTTCTTATACCCAACTACCGTAATGCTAAAATTATGGACATACCCAGGCAATTTCTGTGCATACGTGGGCTACCATACCGGGCTGCCCGTGCGGCCCGACGGGCAACGGACAGGCAAGGTTCGTGCAGAAAAGAAAAGAAGAAACAATTTTGCAATAACCCGCTCCATATGCCCTGAGGTGTCCTAAGGGGTACGCACAGGCCGCGACCCTGACCTAAGGCCGTGAGGGATCAAGGGGGATAAACCCCCGAATTCGGCTTCAGGGTCTGTGTGCCCGACAGTTGACTTCAGTCAACTGCCTGAGATCCACGAGTCAAAGTCTACGTGGACCCAGCCCAGGCCGCCGGTCAGACACACACACTTGTTTGTACCAAGACAGCATTCGGACCAAGTGGAAGTCTGCAACTGTATGAGATGCAGGCCGTCGGCTGTGAGCCAATCTGAGCCACCGTGGGTGGGAGACCTGAGGCCAGTCAACCTCGTCAAACACTAGATAAGGCTTGGCCTCCAGGGAGTCAACATTCACTCTTGCTATGCTGAGTTGACGCTGGCTTGACGCTGGCTTGACGCTGGCTAGACGCTGGCTTGACGCTGGCTAGACGCTAGCTTGATGCTGGCTGGACGCTGGCTCAACGCTGGCTTGATGCTGGCTAGACGCTGGCTTGATGCTGGCTGGACGCTGGCTGTATGGTGGCACTGTGGACGACTATGCGAGACTGCTGCGTGCTTGCTGGCGCCAGCCTCTGCTGACGTGGCGCAAGCCACGCTGTCTTCGACATTGCAGATGTGGCACATGCCTCATTGCTGATGTAGCGCATGCCTCATTGCTGATGTGGCGCATGCCTCATTGCTGATGTGGCACATGCCTCTTTGCTGATGTGGCATATGCCACATTGTCTTCATTGCTGAGTTGAATGCGACAAGGAGGGAGATCGGGATCTGTGGATTGCTTGAAAGAGAGGATACTTCCTCGTTGCTGACGTCGATACTGTACGCTGCTGAACGTCTTCACGGAAGAACTGTGCCATGTGGCACTCTGATGTGATCAGGCCTTGTCAGCCTCGTTATTGGACACTGTTTGCTGACGTGGAGGCGAAGGGGAAGCCCGGAGAAGGAGAGGGAAATTTTGTGCTACTATCTCTGTGGTCATTGATGGATACCATCTCTTCCACCCTCTAAATTGTCTATTCCCCCTCTCCTCTCTTCGTCCATTGGTTACAAGACATTGTATCACAGATCACATTCACAATTATTTGGAGACATTATTCAGCGCTGAGTTTTCTTGTACTTCGACATTTGACGAGTATCTTCCAGACTGGGTTCATTACAATTTGGTAGCGGAGCACACCTTCTTCGTCGTGATCTGCTGTCAGGCGCCAGGTGGCGCCCAGGTAAGTGGGAGGTGCCGCGCGCAACTGGAAAGAAATGCGTTTATAAACGTGCGCGATTATCATCGCGGGCTAGCCATTGACTCCCATGCGCGCGCACACGCTCCCTTGAAGATGATGACGTGGACTGAAGACGACGACATTGCTTACGTGGCCAAGCGATGTCCAGTTCTCAGCACTAGCACAGGAAAATCACAATGGCAGCAAGTTAACAGGGAATCACTTGCTGCCACCCCAACATCCCTACCACCCTAACGGGAAAGGGCTGTTCCCATTGCGCCATGCCCAGGCCTTAGGGCACGTATCTAACCACCCCAATCTCCCCATTCCCTCAATGGGAAAGGGCCAGTCCCACCAAGCGATGGCCAGTCCTCAGCACAGGCACAGGAAAGGGTCGCTCACACCGTGCGACATTCGTGACACCAGACCCTTTGAGGGTGCGATGCCTCGACGACGCCGGAGCATCAGATGGTCCGGCGTCCTCGAGCCGTCGGACCATCGGATGGCACGACCATCAGATGCTCCGGCGGCGTCGAAGGCGCCGGACCATTGGACAGTCTGCCGCCTCAAGGGCGGTCAACCGTCGGCGGCGGACTTAGAGTAAGTCAGCCAACATAACAATCAATCAATATGTCAGCATCCTTTCCTCTTCGGCTGCACCATCTGCAGATACCAATGTGGCCAGACACTAGGGCCGGCGTGTGGCACTACATCCAATCCTGAAGTTGTTACGCCCGTCAGCACCCAAGTGCAAGTATCAACTTCTCACGAGCGGCAGGGCACGTCCGCAGTCTCGATATCCCACTCTCTCTCTCTTTCTCTCTTCACCAGCGCCACGTCAGCCCGCAGCCAACGATGCTCTCGCTGGTATCTGATAGCCACATCAGCACCCTTTCTCGTTAGGGAAATACGCAAATTGGGGTGGTCAGATGATTCGTCAACTTACCCCTTCCCCATGTTTGTGCTTGTAGACGTCATGTGCGTGTCGGGTGCGCGTATTGCAGGCTATGCTTTATGTTATGGCCGACAAGGCACCACCCAGTCCGAACGTTGGTTAGATGTTCCAGTACTAATGAAGATTGGCAGCATGATGTTGCCACCGGTCCTTGAGGCCTCCCCCCCCCCCCCCCCCCCCCCCCCCCCCCCCTTTTTCTCTCTCTCTCTCTCTCTCTCTAACAAGGCACCACCCAGTCCGAACGTTGGTTGGANCCGAACGTTGGTTGGATGTTCCAGTACTAATGAAGATTGGGAGCATGTTGTTGCCATCGGTCCTTGAGGCCTCCCCCCCCCCCCCCCTCTCTTCTCCTTACCGTATGTTTGTTCCGTGTATTACGCCGGTGTGGGATGCGGTGTTCTGCAGCTGCTTGCTCATCAGGGGTCTCTATGCCGAAGGTTGTCAAAAGGACCGTCACGTTCCAAGAGAAGTATTGGGCAATCAATTGCAACCTCGGTATGAAAGCCGCCTACTGTGGGCCCGTCGTTTTCTTGCGGGACGAGAGTGGCAGTCACTACCTATGTGGGCGTATCAAGACTTACTCATTTGATAAGAACATGCCTGACGAGGAGCACATGAGATTCCATCTCACAACGTGTTTCGACATCGATGGTCACGAGGTGCCTGACAACTACAAACTCGTGTCCCTCCACGTCGACAAGTTTCAAGGTTATGGCATCCGCGTTGCGTCAATGCCACCGTTCGACAAGTTGACGAAGAAGGATGTGTCGCAGATGGTGATGATAAGGCTGTTTGAGTTCCTGAAACACGTTAATTGCTATAAAGTGTCGAACCGTATCGCGACGATTGACAACATGCTGCAGTTGTCAACTCCCTTCGTGTCGTTCAACTGTGATCTTCAAGACTTTGTAGACAAAGTGCGATGTCACAAGCTGCAGACGATGGGCCAAGTCTCTGTCTGCTAGCCAAAGGCGGTAGGCAAGAGTTGTGGGGAGACGAAAACATCCGCCCAAATTAGCAAAAGTGGGACCACATCGACACAGGCAAAGAGCGTGAGAAAGTCCACCGCTCCACTCCAGTCAAAGGGCGTGTTTGCAAAACAGGCACAATCACATGCTGAATATGTTGCTCACGTTTCTTTGTCTCCAGTTCTTGGGGCCACTGACCATGAGGATGATGACGAGAAGACGGAGGAGGACTCGCACTTCCGGCAGTGAGACGGTGAGCGGTGGTGGGTTGAGGGCAACGACGTAAAAGACAGAAGGCGACGACGACGAACAACGGTTCTGCGACGATGCAGAACATGAAGAGGAAAACTTAGAGGATGGTTGGGCCGAAGGCGATGGTAGTGAAGGCAAAGAGGATGGTGGTCACGAAGGCGATGGGAGTGAAGAAGAAGAGGATGAGGATGCAAGTGATGAGGACGCCGAAGAACGGGAAGACAGCTACGAAGGCGGGAGTGAAGGAGATGAGGGTGGGGCGAACGAGAAAGACGACGGGAATAGTGGGTCATAGAAAAGGCGGGAAGAGTATTCTCGGGCCACAAGTGATCACGGCCCGACAGAAGATGCCGGTGTGTTGCATGGCACACAGAGCTCTGTGTGCATGCACAAGAAGAAAATGAAAGCTGGGAGAATAGAGGAAGAGAAGTGGAGACAAGCTAAGCTCATCAGAAAACAGGCCTCAAAGGAGGCTTACAAGAAATCCTTAGAGGCCCCAATCCGTTAAACCAACAAAGAAAAAACGTGAACCCCCTCGATATTCCCAGAGACCAAAGAAGAAAGCAAAGGTCGATGAGACAAAGGAAGTGGAGGACTCTGGGGACGAAGCGGCGGGGGTTGACCCATGACATACAACACCGAAGCCAGGAGAGGTGACCAACGACACTATCGACACCACAAAATGTTTTTTTCCTGGAATACGACGCGGACTACAATGCGATAGATCGACCTTCCCAAATTTTCGTTGACGTCGGCAACATATTGCCCAACCCTTCGGAAGGCGTGCAATACAACCACAGACCGTTGAACGAGATGTTGGTCACCTCATCAGGGACGTAATGGAACACTCGGAAAAGCAGAAGGAGTGGGACGGAAACACGTGGATTCTTGCTTCGGTCGTACAGGTGGAGAAGGAAGGCCGAAACCAGTGGGAGCGTGTAAAGCCGGAGGAGTGGGATGATGACAAAGTTGCCTCCTACCATTGGTACACCGTGGCCGACCAACATACAGGGGAGGCAGCGAAGACGTTAGTCGCTGCCAGATTGCCTGATGCCTAGAAGTGGGGTGTGCATTCTTGGAAGGCGGGGTTGTGTATTTTGACGACGACCATTTGGAGGGGTATGCGTACATCTCCACATTTGACAACACCAGGGAGACACGTGTTATCCCATCGTCGTTTCGAATGTGACTGCTATAAAAGGACTGTGGCAGAATATGAAAGAGTCAAAAGGTGATTGTCATCAGGCGAAGATGGTGGATGAAAGGACTTCACAGTGTGAGCAATATCAGAAGTTTGTACGGAAAGCTATACGGATGACTCCTGCCAGCACGCTCTGGAACTAGTCATTGGCGAAAAAATTTGTGAGGAATTGGACAAACTTGTTAAGGCCTTACATGTGTCTCGTGGCGAGCGGTAAGGTGGTGTGGAATCTGGTTGAGAAGTTCTTTGACAAATGGGAGAAAGAGGGACTGCCAAGGCAGGACGACATCAAACCAGTGGATCAGGAAGGGAAAGCAGGCGAGGCGTTAGAACCGGGTCCTGCTGCGAAGACCGTGAAAGGCAAAAAAGTGTTGGTGCACTACGTCCAGTCCAACAAAAGTTCGTCGGGTTTCTATGTTTGCATCAATGATCCCCCAGGAAGCGCATGGAAGGTGTTCGACGATATCACGTCAAGGGAGAAGGAGATGGGCCTCGAGAAAATACTTGCGGGACACGTGGTCACGAGTGGAAGAGCATTCGTGAAAAATTGATGAACATGCAATACTTGTACGTGGAGGTGATAATGGAGAAATATATGGTGCGCATGTTTAACTATATCCTGGACATTCGTGAAAAAATTGATGAATATGCAAGACCTGTACGTAGAGGTGAGAAGGAAAAAATATATGATGCGCATGTTTAACTATGTCTTGTTCAAGATAGAGCAGATGTCGGAGGAGGAGTGGAATGACAAGTTCTTCATTGGCTACGATACCATAACGAGGCGGTTTGCACCACGAGGGTTGATGAGGGAAAAATGGGAAGAAACCAAGTTGAACATTCCAGCACATAAGTCGTCAATGTCCCAAAACGATTGGGCGGCGTGGATGAGGTGAAACTAGGAAAAGGGAATGTCGGGGGGCACAAGGTGACGACTGGAATATATATGGAGTATCCGTACTTCCTCAAGTTTTTTGTGCATGAAATTCTTAGCGCAGTCGACCAATTGAGGGATGAGTTGCGGCGGATCAGCTCAAATGCTCAGCACATAATGTGGGACAAGCGCAAAGATCACATGACCTATTTTCCTGTATGCATCGCACCTATGGACGCACTGCACCCGACGGAAGATTTGACTAGTGCTGTGAGGAAGCTGAGTTGTTAGCTTGCAGTGTTGGACTTAGCTCCGTTGAAGAATCTCGACGCATGGAATGAGCAAAGGTTTCACAAGTTCCACCAAATGATAATGGTGTTGTGTGGGACGCATTGGGCGCTAATCATATTCAGCGCATTGAAAGGTGAGGAAATGGTCCTGAGGAACGTGTTCAGGTGGGAGGGTGTGAGAGTTCTTTCAGGGCGCTAGCGTCGTTATAGCGAAGCGGCATCATCCTGCACCCAAGTTGGAAACCTTCCATTGAGAGGGCGCGACTCCATGACCATAGTGTTGCACGATACAAGCAATGATTTGAAAAAGGTCATGGTTGCAAAGCCTCGTGGGAACACTCTCTTCGACACCCATTACGTGGAGGAGTTATTTGTACGATGTACAAAAGAGGCAATCGGTGTGCGAGGCGATAGCAGACCCATGTACGGAATATGGGAGAGGGAACCAACAAAAATGAAAAACTTGTGCATCTGGTTTTCGAAGAAAGGGGAAGGTGTCCTGTTATTGGGCAACGTGCAGGCGGGAACAATGTGGGACTTGCTTCGCTCAGGACGCCATGTCATCGCATGCGATGGTTCGTCAAACATGATGGAGTACTCCTCTCTGTTTATCGACCGTCACGTCCACAATTCGGATAAAAGGTGTCACAACCCTCGTGGACACAACTTTAGAAAACCTGTCCACACATACGTAGGAAAAAGCCAAACCTTTTTTGAATAACAGCCGACACAACAAACCAAAGAGTTTTCCTGGATGATTTCTATGAAAAACATCGAACAACCTCATATGCGTGAACCAGGTCGTCGCGGGACCAAGAGCATAGTCCCTTGCTCTCGTTCGGGTGACTCAGGAGTCGTGACACGGCTGGCTTTAGACTTTCTGATCCTGAACAAATTTAACCAGCACAACCACATTAATAGCAATCTTTTTCTCAAACCATCCATCGTTTGAGTTGATCACGACCGAATATACTAACCACCACCGATGACCCGAACACTCTTTTTATGACCTTCCACGAGTCTGCCAATAAACCACCACCCTTGGCTATAATGGATAAGGAGAACAACCCAAAACCGAAAGCCTCATTCAAAATGGGCAGGAGGGAGATAGAGGAGGTACCCGTGGAGGAGATGAAAGAAGCTATTCTACCCTTACAACCTTGTTCTATACCCTTGCTTTGGTCAATTTTTGTCTTCTCTACTGGCCATGTACAGTCGTTGGTTCTTCTTGCCCTGTTCCTTCTCTCCCTCTTACCTGGTCTACATTTCGCATTCTTCCTCTTCTTACGACCTTCAGAGCGAGAGTTCAAATATGGAGAAGACCATCCAATAAATCTCCGTTACGCAGCTACTAAGTCCGACCCGTCAACCACAGCTAGAGGTATAGCAACATAATGGTGGATTCCAGTTTTGCATAGCCATCTATAAAGTTTGTGATTCCTTGCCAAACGTGTCGGATCATTAACAAAAGAAGTACGATATAAATGTCCGGTCCATCTAAGCCTTAGTGACCTATTAGTACAACCGATAGCAGTGCTTTACGAAAGGGGACACTAGACAATATACGACAGGTCCTGGAAAACGTCTAAAGTCATACCCAGAGTGAAGCATGCTAAGTAGGCTATCGACAAACTTGAGACACCATGGAAGCTGTTGAAGAAGAATGAGCATGGTGACAATCATTTGGAGGAGGTAGTTGAGATCCTGATCCAGCAAACGTACCTTTGACTTGTGAAGCGGTAGGCAGAGTTGTAACAGTTCCCATACCGTTTTCACGCTTGGGCCAAATTCCTATTCTTCAGCAATGTGCTCTTTGTCCTCAGCTTCCACCGGTTGTGTGTCGTGCAACTCTACTGTATCTCTGTCTTCGTCGCGGCCTTCGTCTGCCTCAGATTCCAGAATGGATCGAGCTGGCTTCGTCTGTGCCTGGCGACCATCGAAGGCGATCATCGTACGGAGCTCGGCTATATCATTGATCGCTTGCTCACAAGTAATAAAAGTAAGACCCTCCTTATCGCGCAACGTTTGAAGGCCATGTTTCTTGAGGCGCTTCAGATATTTCTTTGTCTCCTCGAGGAATTCCGCTCGCTCCAGTGTCGCCGCCTTCGTTGCCAAACGCCCTGATGTCCTCTTGGGGGTTGAAGGTCTGATGGTCAGGTCATCGAGCCCGTCTTGCCGTTTTGGAAGGTTGTCCTGATCCTTGTCATTTGTGGCCTCATCCATATGCTTGGTGAGGTTCGATCGCAGAGTGCGCCCTTGCCTGATGAGCCTTGCCACAGCCTTTTCAAATCTTTCCCTTAAAGCTTGCACTTCTAGATCCGCAATACATTCTCCCTCTTTGACCGAATTATAAGCCTTCAATAGTTTCTCAAAGTCTTGTGAGGTAGGCGTCCCAACTCCAATTACCTTACTCTTCCCTCTCACAGGGGCTTCCGGCGGACTACTGATGCATACTCCCATAGCTGGTCTCTTAATGCTCGTAATATTCTGCTTCAGCGACCTATACATCTCATCCATCTTTTTCTTGATATGCCCGTACTCCAATCTCAACCCCTCAATCTGTTTCCCAAACGCTCTTTCTCCAAATCTTTCTGCCGTCACCCTGGAATTTCAACAGCAGTCCGGCGGCTATTCCCTCCGTCGGTATATGATGCTCTTGCCAGGTCCGCTCTCCCCCAAAAGAGTTCACATGCATCATTGATTTTGGTATCGACTATGTTGCTGATCCTCTCTTCAAAAACTTGTCGCTCCTTCATCTTCCTCTGGGCTTTCTCTTCAGCCTCCTTGATCTTCCGTTTCTCCTCCTCATCCTTGAGTTGCTTCTCTTTCTAATGTAGTGCCTCTTGACGCGCCTCAAGCTCGACTGCCATAAATTCGTAAACCCGGTCCAGCTTTTCTTGATTGGTCTTCCACCACGGCTGTCATGGCACAATCGCCTGACCAGGGTTGGTAGGGTGCGGGTTGGAAGGTGGTGGGGGAAGAGCAAGCAGTGGTGTCTACAATGGGAGGGACCCCCCCGAAGCCATGGGCGAAGGATTGGGGTTGCTAGGAGGCAGCTGCGGAAAAGACGGGAGGCGCGGCAAAGGCTGTTGAGAAAAGTGTCCGGGCATATTGCAGTTGAAGCATAGCCTTGGACTCGACATTCTGGACAGCCGATGACGACGGAATCGCTAGGTGATACAAATAGATTCCTGCACAGACCAATCAATAGGCAGTATTTCGAAACACGCTAACGCAGTTAAGATCAAACTCCCCAATAGAACTCCGGGGGGGGGGGGGGGGGGGGGGGGGGGGGGGGGGGGAGAGAGAGAGAGAGAGAGAGAGAGAGAGAGAGAGAGAGAGAGAGTAAAATCAGGGTAATGAGTCAAGAACAGTATCGATTTATGCGATGGGAGTGGGGGTGGGCAATGCCCTGCAACCACTCTAGAGTAGTGTGATTCCTACCAAGGTTATTGCACGAGCAGCAGATGAGAGCTAAAGCATAGCAACCAAGGTTGCAAACCTCATGAACTCATGGAATATAGAGGTGCGAAGAGGGCAATGGAGACGGAAAAATAACAGCAATAGGTAGGACAGTAACAGCCACTGTGTTAGCAGGAGTAATCATGATGATGCTGTCTACTGCGCCTATTCACGTCATCACGCTTGCATTTTGCAACAGCGTAACAAAGAGTGCCATAGAACACCTCAGCAAAAATACGAAACACACGCAACCAAAAAATGAGAGCATCGAGCAACCAAAGAAACAATCAAAGCCACTCCATAGCGAGGGGAAGATGAAAACGGCAGGAGAGCAGAGAGGAAACGAAAAGAAAGAGGTAAGAAGCAAGGGGAAGAAGAAGAAGAAGAGTACATTGCCTGGTTAATTGTAGTGAGGCGACGGAATACTGGGCGAGGGCTTCAGCCCTTTGGAACTCCCTCTTTCCCTCCCCTTTCCCCAAACACCCCATCCAAGTTCTCCTCTGGACTAACATCTCGAATCAATGTCAGAAGACAGAGAGGTTGTGGTTCGGCCTGATCAGCAAGGCGACTTTGTGGGTCATTTGGAAGGAGCGATGCTGCAGAACCATTGAAGGAATTCCCAACTCAAGGGAGAAGGTACGGGCTGAGACGAGGTCTATGATACAAACAGAAATTCGCTGCAAGTGGCAGAGACTCAATTGATGCCTGAGGATGAGGATCAGCGGAGAAAGATGAGAATGGATTTTATCAGACTATGGCTTTTAAATGGCAAGGTGGCTGAGCTACGGGATGATCATATACGTTGGAAGGACTGGCTCAACTTGGACTCAGACCGGAGAAGTCAGCTCTTGCTGTCAGCAGGAAGACAGACCACCTTGCGTGATGTGTGATCTGAAGGGAGAACACAAGAACGGGTATGGGTCACAGCTGGCACAAGGACGTCTCTATGTAGAGAACGCGAGGGGTGGTAGAAGGTAGGCTCGGAAAGGGCAAGGTGGTGGGGTTATGGGTCAACCATAGACGTGGAAGGTCGGGTTCATCTCAAGTTCAGGTTGGAGCAGACGGCCTCTTGTACCAACGGATGGACAGAGTACCTGATCAGTTATATAATCGGAAGGGTGAAGACAAGAGTGGTCATGGACCATATGACGTACCTTAGTACCCCAGCCAGCAGAAGGACTAGCTTCATCACAGGTCACATAATGTTGGAGGGCGTACTCCGATATTGAATCTTCAGTGGCTTCTTTTTTTCTTTTTTTTTAAAACAAAAACAAAAAAAAACAAAGGCTCCTTCTATTCTGGGGAGCGTCAGTCCGGTTCCTTTTCTTTTTATTCGGCGGAGCGAAGGGCCGTGAAAAATTGTGATAAGCTGCTCAGTGTGCTCAGCCCACGGTATTCTTTAGTAAAAGGCGAAAGAATAGTACGCCAGTTGAGCTGGACACGCAGCTGAATGCGTCAGTCTGGTTCCTATTCCACCGGCAAGTCGGAATTATACAAAACAATTAAGACAGACTCACGCTTCCTTCCGTCTGGCCGAAGGACCCCTGAGCAGCATTGATTAATCCGTCTGGACGGTTGCTTTTTATTATTTATTTGACAGGTCATGCAGTTGACCTGAGAGGGAAGGAGGAAGTAAGGCAAGCTGACAGTCAATCCTCCACGATGTTGGAGTAATCAATGCTGGTCAGCGATCCTTCGGCCGGACGGAAGGAAGCGTTAGTGGGTTTCATGATGTAATGTTTTAACCTGACTTGCCGGTGGAATAGAAACCGGACTGATGCTCCCCAGAATGGAAATGGAGCCGGGGCCATAAGGACCTGTATTTTTCAAAAAAAAATAAAAACAAAGAGAAAACGAAAAAGAAAAAGAAGAAGAAGAAAAAGAGAATAAGAATAATAATAATAATAAGAAGAAGAGGGAGAGGAGAGAAGGAAAGAAAGAAAATAGAAATACTGAGAAGTGAAGGAGAAACAGAGACACCGTGGATGCTTCACACAGAGACGCGACGGAAGTTTCCTGAAGCCCAAGCGATTTAAACGAATGAAATGAACATGAAGCTCAAAGTGCACTCCAGCACTGCCGAACAGGCAACCTGGCCGGCGAAGGAGAATCATGAATCTGCTTCGCCCGACATGTTTCGACCGACGCATGGATCCAAGATACATGTCGTCACGTTGTACTGAGAATAAATAGTCCATTTCGGCCGAGGATGGTAAAGCACTTCCGTAGGAGAGAGAGAGAGAGAGAGAGAGAGAGAGAGAGAGAGAGAGAGAGAGAGAGAGAGAGAGAGAGAGAGAGAGAGAGAGAGAGAGAGAGAAGAATATAATAATAAGGAGATAAGGACCGAGACAGAGCGCTCGGAGAGGAGAAGTTGGAAAGCAGCGAAGAGAGAGGGTGGTGGCCATGTTTATCTCCGGAATCCAGACGGTGGCTGCATACCGGAGCATGGAGAAGATGGAGGCATTTAGGACTAGTGCTCGTCCAAACAAGGAGTAAATACTGGACCAGGTGTCCATCTTGCGAAGCATCGTGGTGAGTATTTCTGGTTCCATTGCGTGGTCCGGCCCTGTTTCTGTTAGCTTAATCCCCAAAAAGCGCAGCGGACTTGCCAGACAAAGCCTTCTGGGGAGACGTCTGGTGGGGGCTGTGGGGTATATCCGACAGCCACCGTCCTGCTGTCTTTTGCCAGTTGACTTTCATTTCGGAGGCCAGCTGGAATGCTTTCATGGTTTGTGTCAGGGTCTGGAACGACGTGCTCGTTGCCCTGACTATAGCTGTGAGGTCATCGGCAAAAAGCAGGGTGGCGGGCAACCTAACCTCATGACGAGGCTGGGCCGGCTCAGCCACCAGTCTCTCGATTGACGGGTCCTTGCGCAGGAAGGAACTGCTTCCATCGTGAACAGAAAGAGCGGTGCCGCCAGGGGGTCGCCTTGCCGGACCAAACCGGGCATCTTGTATGGCGGTGAAAGGAACCTGTGGAGATGGACCTGTCCATGTGCGTCATTGTACAGGACTAAGCCACTTGCAAAATTTTGGACCGACCTCCTATACGCAGTGCCTCAGGTCGGATGTTGTAGTGTCTCCTATACACAGCTGGTCAATGAGCTTATTTCGGGAGTTGCTCTTCAATTTTTTGGATGGAGTACTCTGTCATCTTTTCTCCTTACTCCAGCACTTTCACGTGTGACTGTAATCGTAGTCCTCCTTCTTTCCAAGCCTTCCATTCTGCCAGCTTCTGCTTTGCTGCAAAGAGGGCTTCTTCGAGGCGTGTTTGGCCCGGTTGGGCTATGAGATTTTCCTCTGCCACTCACAGGACTGCTTCCCGCTCGTTTTCTTTGGCCGACCTCCTAGCGGCTAAGGTTCTTGACACCTTGGTCGTGGCATTGGATAGACTTCCTACCAGTTGTGGGAAGGTCATAGTCCACGTTCCATGTGCCGCACACGCTTGGACTATGTAATCCTTCATTGTGTGGGTTTCGAGGAGAGAGTTGTCGACTTTGAAGAAACCCGGTTCTCTCGCTGGGGCCGCGTCCAGAACTAGGTGCAGGTAGACAAACTTCTGGTCCAATCCCGGAAAGTAAGGCAGTAGAAAGAAGTCTATTCGTGAGGCTGAGACGTGCTGGATGCAGTTTGAGGTAAGTGAAGTCTCTCATCGTCAGCTGCAGCGTGCGGTAGGGGTCGATCAGTTGCTATTCCATCATGATGTTATGTATGCGAGCTGCCTCGTCCCAAACTGCTCCTTCCATACCTGAGACTCTTCCTGACATTCTGTCCAGGCCAGGGTCTGTGTTGCTGTCCAATCCCCTGCCAGCAGCAGGGGGGCAGGTGAGAGTCCGTGAGACACATAGAGGAGTGAGGGCATTAATCATTAATGAGTTCTGCCCTCTGTTGATGAGCGCTTGGGCAGTATATGTACAGGAGACGAAAATGCTCCTGTTTGAAGTTAAAATCTAACTTAACCCACCTTCCCTCTTGGTCGTCCGCCTGGGTGGCTTCTATGTCTGGAGCCTGTGCTGCTGCTGACCTGGTGTGTACGAGTATTGATGTTCCTGATGAGCCTGCTCTCGGAACCCCGGCCCAGTGGGCGTTACTGATCCATCTCAGCCGCCTATTTATTTCCTTCTGAACTGCTTGGTGCTC